GTCGTCTTCAACTCTCCTACAGGGCCTCAATGACGCTGCTTCCCGGAACCCTGCCTTAACATCTGCTTCTGATGATCTGGGTTATTTACGGAATCCGATATGGTGGGCTGGTATTGGAACTCGTGAGTGGCAATCCCCCAATCAAACTTTTTTGTATACTGATCTATGTGTGCAGTCGTAATTGGAGAAGGCGAGTCCGCCATTTTTTATGCGCAGCTAAAAGCTTACTCTGCGTAGTCGCCAACTTTGCAGCTTACACCTTTGCCCCACCGATCCTTGTAGTGCCTTTAGGAGCTCTGAGTGTCCTCATAGGGTGCGTAATGGACATATATCAACAGATGACGCGAGATGACCTGTGTTCAAAGTGCTGTACTTGCCTCTCTCTTGTTGAAAGAAGAGCTCGGCCACCTTGGAAGAGTTGGATGTGCTTTGTGTCTAATTGGAGCTGTAATCATTGTCATGCACGCCCCTCCCGATAAGGATATCACAACCGTCGACGAAATTCTGTTCTACGCTATTCAACCGGGTACGCCGTCGTCATCTTGGACATGATCTAGACTCTAAGCAGCTCGCATCAGGCTTCCTTCTTTACGTATTCTCTGTCCTCGCCTTCACCACAGTGATGATATCATACGCCGTCCCTCGGTACGGGAAGAAAAACCCCCTCGTATATATCTCGATTTGCTCTCTGGTCGGCTCCGTGTCGATCATGGCCGTCAAGGGCTTCGGAGTTGCAGTGAAATTGACTTTCGCAGGGAACAATCAGTTTACCCATCCAAGCACCTATGTATTCGGGATCGTTGTCGTCGTCTGCATCTTAGTGCAGATGCATTATTTCAACAAGGCTTTAGACACGTTCTCGACTAATGTGTGAGTTGTTTCACGCTCGGAAGTGCCGTATCTTTAACTCCACTTTCTATAGGGTCAATCCGATCTATTACGTCTGCTTTACGACCGCCACCATCACGGCATCTTTGATCATGTTTCAGGGATTCAACACCACGGACGGCGTGAACACCGTTTCGCTCCTGATGGGCTTCATTACTACGTTCTTAGGCGTTCATCTGTTGAACATATCGCGAACACACGACAACAAAATGTTGCCTAACGGCCACGTGCCACTGGAGAACGGTATTATAACTCCACGAGTCAGCTTATCCGGCGGCAGGCTTTCGCTAGATGAGTGGAATCCTCGACATGGCCAGTCTGGATACAGGCCAGACGGCGCGCCACACTCTGCGGGACATGGAAGGCGCAGCAGCTTGTATCGAGCCCAGTCATCCACCCTCTTCAATGCTTTCGAGGAAGAGGAGAACGCGGGACTCCAAAGGCTTGATGAGGATGACGATGAATTAGAGGAAGATCGACCATTTGAAGCTGATGAACGGACACGATTACGCAGCTCGCATGACGACAGAAGGAGTCCCAGTACCAGCAGAACGAGACGTGGGCTAAAGGGGGATGTAAGCACTTCACCAGAACATTTAGACTTTCACGATGACGATCCTTTACATAACAGTAATACTATGCCATGATAGGACTTGTTCTACGTTGCATTAATATGTCACTTTATCCAGAGTTTCTTGTCTTGGATCAGAGTTGATCGCCAGGACGAGTTAACTTTGTACATCACGGACAATAAAACTTCCACAATCTGGAAGATCTGGAGGAGTTAACTGGGCCTGTTAGTATACACTTGTGTAACTTATATACCTTGCATTAGATCTGCTTTGACTACATAATTATTACTGTTCTATACTGAGACTCAGGGATACTAGCGGATCTAAGCGAGTGTCATTCCATGTTTCGGCGAGTGACCTCGTGCTTCTCACTCAAGCCCTCACCCTGTCCTTGGCCTTCACTACGCTCATTCTCATCATCATCTTACCACCTGTGTGCCTCTGCTACATTGTCAGACATGGGAGCTCGTGGAACGAAACAAGTCGATTCGTCCGACAGACTCGGCGCCCTGCGCCAATTAATGCAACAGAGCCCTCGTGACCTCACCGCAATCGTTATCCCAAGCGAAGATCAGCATTCGAGCGAGTATATAGCGCACTGTGATGAACGGAGAGCTTTCATTTCTGGATTTAATGGATCGGCGGGTATGATCACGCCTCGATCGAAACCAGAGAACACCTGAGACTAATTTATGTATAGGATGCGCTATTGTAACCTTGAACGAAGCACTGATGTTCACAGATGGACGATATTTTCTTCAGGCAAGCCAACAAATGGATAGGTTTGTCGCGATTGCGATGCGTGGCTTCAGCTTACGAAGTTTCATGAAGTAACTGGACATTGATGAAGCAGGGTCTTCCCGGTGAGTCGCAACCAATTGTCTGACTATCATGGGTGGCTGAATGATGTCAAAGATGTCCCCACTTGGCAGGAGTATCTGTACAAGGTTGCTCATCTCACCATGATACACCCGTTCTCGATACCTAACCGAAGAGCAGAAATTGGAAAAGAACGCTCGCATCGGCATTGACCCTACCCTGATTAGTGCTTGTGCGTATTCAATCCAATGCTCTTCTCATCAGGCCGAGAGTATAAGCCAAAACTATAGTGGATGCCAATTCTTTGAAAAGTTCCTTGAAGCCACACGGCAGCCAGCTCGTCGAACTTGATACCAATCTAGTGGATCAAGTGTGGGGATCAAGTCGCCCAGCGAGGACCTTGAACCCTATCGTTCCCCTTGACGTCAAGTTCTCTGGTGAATTGGTTCCTTGTGCTATCGTCGCTTGCTCTCACTGTGTGTTACGACCAGGTCGATCGACTGAAGACAAGCTGAAGGACCTTCGGGATGAGCTCAAGAAGAAGAAAGTGACGGCAATGGCTGTGACAATGCTAGATGAAGTAGCGTGGTTGCTCAACCTGCGTGGATCAGATATCGACTTTAACCCTGGTACTCCGAACAGTCCCTCAATTCTTATAGCTGCTTATTGGATTGACAGTGTTCTTCGCTTACGCACTCGTGACCCTGGACTCTGCCACCGTGTACTTGAATGATAGCCAGGTCGACGACACCGTCAAGAAACACCTCGAAACCAATTTTGTTATAAAAGCATATGATTCTGTGTTCGAAGACCTGAAGCAATTTGGAAGCTCGATTACGCAGAAGGAGAGCGTAGGCAACCTGTTTCATTCTAAACAACCACCACTCAGCCCACCTTAGATTTTGATTGGCAACAAGACAAGCTTGGCCGTGGCTTCCGCCTTGGGTTTTGTAAGTGTTCCCTGTATTTCTGGCTCCCATGTTCTAATAGTCACGATAGGAGAAAGTAGTGATCAACCGCTCCCCTATTACGGACGCCAAAGCTATCAAGAATAGCGTCGAGATCGAAGGATTCCGACAAAGTCACATCCGGGATGGTGCCGCACTCGTCAGTCGCTTATACATGTCTCGAACATACGCGTTTCTGACTATCTATCAGGCGCAGTATTTTGCTTGGCTGGAAGAGCAGCTTAATGACGGTGCCACGCTGACAGAAAGCCAAGCCGCCGATAAGCTGGCAGAATACAGATCGTAGGTATCCGGGAGTTGGTGGATGCCAGTTCTGACTTAATCACAGGAAGCTCGATCTATTCAAGGGGCTGTCGTTCACCACCATTTCATCTACCGGGCCCAATGGAGGTCCGTAAATCGAAGATGATCGAGGGGATGCGACTGAAATTCAAGTAGCTATCATCCACTATTCTCCTGACCCGGAAACTTGTGCTGTCATCAAGAAAGATCAAGTAGGTTGGGCCACTTTTACATTGAATATTAAATCTAAGGGTTGGTCAGATCTACCTTTGTGATTCTGGAGGTCAGTGCGTTTCTTTGTCTCAATGAGTTGCTCGACCTCAATGATATTAGGCCAATACTTGGATGGTATGCAATCGCATTGTTGACGGACGATCGATCTTAGACTTATTCAGGCACCACGGACGTGACGCGGACATGGGTAGAAATCTCGCTGTTCCCACATGACCTTTGCCTTACTTGCCATCTAGCATTTCGGAACACCGCGCGCGAAAGAAAAACGAGCCTTCACTCGAGTTCTTCAAGGGCATATTGCTATCGATACCCTTGTCTTCCCAGAGGGCACATCAGGTATGAATTCGTTAATGAAGCTCCCTCCATTACCGTATCTGATTTCCGTAAAGGATACATTATGTTCGTGATCAGCCCCATGCCTTCGACGGATGCTAATCGTGATTCAGCGACTCATTCGCTCGCCGAGCTCTTTGGAGTGATGGACTGGGTACGTTCCTCCTTCACCGTTCGGTCACAGTCTAACATTCGACCCGCAGACTACAGGTTAGCGATCGACCATCGACATTCGTCTTTTTCTTCACGGATCACAGGCACGGAACCGGCCACGGAGTGGGTCACTTTTTGAACGTTCATGAAGGTCCGCATGGCATCGGTACACGAATCGCGTTCAACGAAACCTTCCTCCAAGCTGGAATGACCGTTTCTAACGGTGCGTAGATTTTCTGACATATTCGACTGATCTCATTGATCCCAGAGCCCGGTTACTATGCTGATGGAGACTTTGGTATTCGTCTGGAGAATATTGTCATTGTCCGACCCCATAAGACGCCGAATAATTTCGGAGATAAGGGATACCTTGGTTTCGAGCACGTCACCCTGGTAAGCATTCCGTACTTACAAAACTCTATCTGACTCCACCAATCATGATCAGTGTCCTATTCATCGAAAACTGGTCGATTTGGAAGTTCTTACCACCCAAGAGCGGGTGTGGCTCAATGCTTACCACAAAGAAGTGTTCGAAAAGATCTCGCCGCTTCTGAAGAATGATCCCAGAGCTTTAAGTTGGCTGGAGCGTGAGACCGCAGAGTTGTGAAGGAATAAATACAATGATTACCAGCGACGCGCTACATACATGTACATGTAAATTCTTCCCGTGATTCACCTCATGATGACAAAGAAGCAGCACCTCGGGGAGTCAAAAAGTAAACGTTTATTTGGCAAGTCACATCCAAAACAATGACCGTACCCTGGCTCGAACAGGGGACCTTCTGTGTGTAAGACAGAAATCATAACCACTAGACCACACGGCCGCCAGAAGACCTAACCGTTCTTTACATCCATAGTTTGTACGTAGTCTCTATCGAGGCTTTTACATCGCTGAGTTCGTTGGACTCAAAGACAGCCCTAAAGCTCCTGCCGGTGAAAGTGTCCTTTCCGCGCTTATTGGTTGAATCCGGAACAAGAGATGTTTTGACCTTTTTGAAGGCTGAGCTATTATACCGGTAATGCTCGAATAATGTCCGGATTAGCACAATGGTACTCTGAAAAAATTGCACGCTGAAAATAAGAATCAGTGGCTGAGAAGCATTGCCTAGAGCGACGAGCGTAGTCTAAGATACTGCCAAGAAGTGCTAACGGAAGTCGAAGTTGCCGGCCCGCAACCCGGAGGCGTGGATGAGAACTCCCCCCGAGCGGCCTGCGGTTGCCATCGGGAGTTTCACCCTGCTATTTAATATAGTATTTATCTCATCTATCGGAAAAACCGAGACATCCTTCGCGCTGATGAGGGTGTACTATGGTGGAGGAATAAATGTCCCAAAAACGGGGTGTCGTGCGGAATTCAGATCGAACCCGCTTCACCTCGAGTTTTACACTACCTGCATTCGCCGGATATCTCGAGCTTTTTATCATACAGGACGAAAACACCGGCCACGCTATATATTTTTCGGGGTAGTGCCATATATATAGACGCCTGTTGTAAGTGTATCACTAAAAAGTGGGCTAATAAATCCGTTCATTTCAAAAGTTCACGACCCCACTGGCAGTTGGATGAGACTCGGAGCCGACCAAACTCGGTTGTTACTTTCTGGAAATTGCTGGCCGTGGCTTAGATCTGCTTACTCTTGAAGCATGCAAATGACTCTTATTGCCTACTTACGAAAGGTCAGTCTCTTACATGGTTATTCTACAGACTACTGTCGCTACCCCACCACATAATGGCTCATCCTTCGAATCTGAGGCGTTAGGAGTTTGAATCCACGTGAAAGCAGACGATGTCCTCCGATAAAAACTGAGGGGATGTTAAATCACATGGGAAAGAATGGGTCTAGCTTAAACATTTTATGTGTCAGGCCAGTTCGAATTCCCCGAGCTGTACACTATTAAGTATGGTCTATTCTAAATAGCAATGGCAGATCTAGTTGTCCTACTTCCGTTGCTAATCATATGTACTGTTGTTTTCTTCAGTTTATTCAGCAGATAGTGACCCGAACTGGTGATCAGCTGGTAATATTGCCATACCAATGACCGCACTGTGACTGCCAGTCAGCCAGTTTGCCACTGGCAGTGCGCGCGAACATTCCGCCAATGTTGAAGAAAATGCCGGACCTGACGCACCACATGGAGCTGGAAAAAGCGGGAGATGATAAAAATACACGCGTCCGTACGGCCCGAGCCCCCCAGTGTAGATCCATGGCATCGATGTAGTGGCGGCTCTCGATGCTATATCTCCATTTTCGGAAGTTCTCCTTTTCGAGGTTGTGCCGGCCTTTGCCGACTTCTTCGTTCCGCTCGTCTGCATCACAAAGCCCCTGACTCAGAGCCGGTCGATTAACCACCGACTGATCGAGTTTTCTTTCAATTACACTTATTGGGCGACATCCCGAGCCTCACTATGATTCACTGGTCCGAGACACACGAAAGCGTTGCCGATGACTGCCGAATGAGCAAGGTTTCGCAGCAGTTCAACGAGGCTCAGCTCTGGCAAAAACGCATGATTGGGAGAGAAAGATAATCAAAATAAGATCTCAAATAGGGTTGTCTGCTATGCGTCATCGTCTGGTGCGAACGCTAAGCATTGAGCCGGGAGGTCGAAAAGCAATTTGACTCCTTAATTTTCGTCCCCTTTCTCATCCGGCGGCTTGGACTATTCTAGATACTGGAGTGTTCAAATGATGTACCGACCTCCTACCATGTGGATCCAAGTCTTCAGAAACTTCCACTCCACATTCTCCTACCAAGCCTGCAACCCCTCGACATGCCGCTGTCTTTGAATCTTGACTTGCATATAAACCATCACTTGACTTTCCAATCTAACCATCCCTCTTCTCCTTTCCACAATCATGCACTCAGCTTGGATTGTCGCACTTGCTCTGTTCGCTCCTGCCTCTGCCTCTGCATCCGCTGGCACTTCTGCCTTCGTGTATCCAGGTCGTCGTGACTCTAGCGACAGCCTCTACTCCCGACGTGGTTCAACCACTGAAGACATGTTCACTTCTAGGCGCAGCTCGGTGACTGATACCTGGTACGTTCACATTTTCTGTTTGTCGGCGACTCTCCTTAATTTTCATTAGCGCATTTACTGAGCAAGACCTCACTTCACGATCCGAGGGCGAGACCGTTGTCCCTAGTGGCAAGTGTCTGTGCGTCTCGGACATCGACAATTTCATCAATTCGTCGCCCGATGCTGCCCAACTCGATGCGCTGTCACCTGCGGGTGATGTGCACAATGCGATTGAATCTCTTGTATGTTTATTCGTCGCTTGTTCACATGGCTTTGAGCTTATATCACGATCAGGTTACTCGCAGCCCAGGCGCTTTGACTTGCTTGTTGCCAAGCAACGCTCATTTCACCGATCCTTGCAACAGTTGTGCGACCAACTGCAACGCCGGATATTTCGATAACGGCAGCGGATGTGTCGCACATGTCAAGCGTGCGGGTTCCGGTATGAGAAAGCGTGCGGATCTCCGACCCCTCGTCCATCGCTGCAAGAAAGGCACCACTGCTTGCGGTGTACCCGGGCAGTTCGGCAGATCTGAGTGCCTTGATACTTCATCCGATTTAGAAAACTGTTCGTCACTTTCTTCCTCGTTCTGCTTCTCATCCTGACCTTTTCTTTCCTTATCAGGCGGTGGCTGTTCGACACCTGTGACCAATCACAATGGCACCCGTTCCTTGACCACCGCCGATGGCCAGAACTGCGCCGCTATTCCCAACGTACTCAGTGTCCAGTGCGCGTCTTCCAAGTGCCAGGTCTCTAGCTGCAAGCCCGGATATCGACCTGCCAGCGACGGTAGTTATTGCATCCGCTCCGGCGGCGCAAAGTTGGCCAGACTCGCAGGTCCCATACCGCTGTCGCAGCTGGGTGTCGCGTCTGCTTAAATCGTTAGGCATTGGCTCGATCGTAGATAGCCCCCAGTGTTGCGCAGATCAAAATCAAGTAGACAATACTACACGGACATGTAGATACCGCGACTTCTTTCTTTCTCGTTATCTCTCGTTATACCTTCTGTACGATAATGTCATCGCTTCTATGATATGATCACTTAATGCACCGCTTCCTAAGACCTCAGCGCGCCGATGCTTAGGTGGGCCAATGCAAATTGACTACTTGGATCCAAGTGTCCTATCATCGACTTTCGGTGATACACTCGTTAATGTGCTCAAACAGGCAGGCAGTATATATACTGTAAAGATTAAATCCAAGTCTAACAGTAAAATCAACACTCGGCGCCTATCTCGCACCCGTGTCGACGTCTATGATCGTGTATGAGAGGCTGCTGTAAGACAGTCCTTCTCCCAATCTTGAGGAGTTAACTCTTTCACTCTTTGTTGGAAGGCAGTCAATGTACAGAATTCGGGCGAACCCTTCAGGTGACTGCCTTCTTCAAAGCAGAATGGTAGGCTCAAATTGCGATTTTGATATCGCATGCGAACGACTGCGTACCTTCAGCGGATTATCCATGTGTATCTATAATATATTTAACTCACAATGTTCTGACGTCCGCTTGGATGACGTTGGTGCAAAGGTTCCAAAAAGACTTTGCAAGAATGACTTCGGAGATTCAGGCTCCACTTTTCGGAAGAGTTCGAAGGTGATGGAGGCCGTAAATGCAGGCCATCTAAAGAAGTCAACATCAGAAAACCGAAGTTAATCTATGAAATCAGCTCACCTTTCGTCAAACACGTCGAGTGTCGAAGCAAGGCCGGCAAGCGCCGTATCATGTGTACTATGAATCTGCCGCCATTCCTCAAATTTCACATCACCACACTTGGAATAGTTACTCTTACTAAGATTTTGAGCGGGTCTTTCTCCCCGTAATCGGCCTTGTGCGTCATCTTTCGGGAGAGGTCATCCAGTAATCGACCCATAGCTAGGCGCCGAAATTCTTCCGTTTTATCTACAGATCAAATCGGGGTCAGATTCAGGTCCTCGGCAAGCTATGAACCAAGCATACAGCCCGCAAACCACTCGGTAACGACGGCGCGTTCCTGTTGAGTAGAGTGAGTACGGTTGTGATTGTTTTGACTGTCAGATGATTTACAATCGTGTCCATTATCGCTTTATCGTGGAATTCTGGTGGCACTTTCACGCCGTTAGCTTGCGCACTCCGTACCTGAATAAAGGCGGTGGGTGACCATTCATATTTTCCACAAAAAATAGCCAGACTTACGGTGTCAAATATTCCCGACAGCCTCGGTTGTCCATCCTGAGCCGAATTCAGCGATCGGATGACACTGAGTGTCATAGAACTTACTATGCGGATGGGGTTTCCTCGAATGTATTTTGAAAGCTTTTCGTCTAATGGTTCTAATGTATGTTCCATTGCCTTAGCGGCGGCTGACTCGGAGTCAATACGGATATAATGAGAAGATATCAGGCAGACAGACCAATAGCAAATCCTGCATTCAGCACTTCTAAGCGTCTACATGCCATGGTGTTTCCCAGTAGATTCTCGTCTCGCGGATTTCTTGAATATTAGGATGGTCAGCCCAAGTATGTGCAAATAGCTCACGCCGAGTCTCATACCGTATCAGAATGCGTGGTACGATGCCATTGTCGTATTTCGTGGTCGGATATAACCCGTGGACGATCTGTTGCAATGATTCGATCGTACGAGGAACTTGTGTCGACCTGATCATTCAGGGAAGGTCAGTGCGTCATAGTGAGTCACTGAAATGAAAACAGCTTCACCTAAAATAAACGTGTCCTTCATGACCAATACGATCCGGCAAGAAATTCAATCTGGAAATTGGAAGGAAAGAAGTGGATGTTTGAATATGATCTTACCCCAGCGAAGAGCTATGGGA